TATATATATATATATATATATATTCATGCGCTTAAGTTATGATAGCTCTGTTGAAAAAAATATTTAGTGTTATTGAAATGTAGCATATTTGTTTAATTAGATGTAAAAATACACATTGATGGCCTATTTGTTTTTGATTTGAAGTAAAATAAAATTAATGTAAAACATACTAATCAGATTGTGTCGGTGTGTGAAAGTGACTTATGTTAATTAGTGCAATAAATTTGTGGCATATTTGAAGATTGTTCAAATTAAGTGCTTTTCAAATAAATGATATGATACAAATTAAAATCTTTAAAATGGTGATTGTTTCTATTCTTTTTTTTCTTTTTTGTTTTTTAAGGAGTCGTCAGCTTGTCTATTTTCGTATATTTCTTTTTTTTTCGAGTAAATGTCTCTTCTGTATTATATGAATGATCTGGAGAAGAGAGGATCGAAAAAGAAGGGACATACAATAAAGAAAACAAACAAGAGAAAGAAAACGTGAAGAACCTATGTGCGATAAACCTTGTGTGATAGGTCAAGCGTGTTTGCCCAAACAAGATCGGATGGGAACAAATTGAACTGAATATCCATGAAAGAATGCCTACGTGGACTACCCAAAATGATAGATTTAAGTGAGTTTGCTTGTTATGAGGACAAAAGCACTCATAAGGAGACGTATTTTACTTGGTTAGTTACATCCTAGGGGATGCCCAAGAGTACTCTTGATTAAAGGAGTTGTCTTTGAATTTAAAGTAACAACTAGCAAGGGCTGTCGAAAGCGATGGTATCTCACAGGAGCATCTCGAGGCCTTCTGAGCTCTCGCTGAGCCATAGGGCAGATAGTGATTTTCTCAAGGCCCTAAATGGGTAGATGCTCGTTGGCAATCAGGGATTATGAAATAACCAGGTCATTTGGAAGAAAACATTCCACCACTTTGAGGTAGAACTGGTCATAAGGACATATGACAAATCATAATATCACAAATGAGCAGCGACCTATCAACTAAGTGAGGCTTGTCAAATGATATTGACGAAGACGACAAAGCAACATGGCTCAACGAGGGAAGTCGAAAGAAGAGAGGAGTATTCCCTAAGCAGACAAAGGTAGTCGGACCAGAGTATCATGGAATCAATTGTAAGGTAACCACAATATAACCCTATATATAGTGGTTATATTGTAAGAGATATTAAAACTAAATTTTAAATATTATGTATAAGAAAATATTTTTTGAATATTATGTGCAAAGAATAAAATTAAATGCATTTATATTATCAAAACATAAAAAAAAAAATCATAAAATTTAAATATAAATCAAAATGAGACTAAATTTTCTCTAATTGAAGCTGATGACCATAAGAAACCTCTGCAAACTTTTCAAGAACAGAAAATCTTCTCATGACACTTTAAATTATTTTTCTTCATGACTCCATATTTATTTAATCAATAATTCCAGAAAATAAAATATATTTTGGAAAATTATGAATTCACTTCTGAGATGTTAATGAGCCTTGGGTGATTGACTGATGCAATTAGACAGTAATTTGGAATATTATATGCTAGTCTACAAGGTGCTTACTATAGGGGAGTTTTTTGCAAATATTACATTTACACTTTTAAACCCTTAATTAATTAATGATAGATCATATTAGAGGGTAAAATAGTAAAACTTATGATGAAATATTTATTAAGATGAATGAAACATAAGGGGCTAGTTAGGATTCTCATTAGATCATTAATAACATACAAAAGGTAATAGACGACGACGCAAAACTAGGCCGAAAATCCCGACACTTCACCCCTCTTCTCCAGCTTATTCTGGTGATCGAAGACTAGCGCCTTGACTTTCCTGAAACAATCCCATACTTCTCATTGTTTATCTAAGAGATGGTTTTGTCTTTCGAAGTGAGCTATTGGCAAGGAATTGATGCACAGAATCCGTTCTTGCTTTTGGGAACTCAACACATATTCCTTGTCTTCTTTCATTGAAAAGGCACGGTGACGAAGAGCGAGGGGAAGAGGGGGCAGCCCTCGGCCCGATCATCCAATTCAAAAGTAAATTCTGAATTTTGGAAGATTAAAGCTCATAAATGTTTAGATGATTAGGTGGGGGGAAAACAATGGCTTAGAAATGTTTAAGTCATAGATTTAAACTCCTCACCACAAGTTGGAAATACTTATATGATCTCATGAAGGAGAATCAACATTAAGTCATAAATTATAGATTTATCCTCAAGAACTTAAGAGATTCATGATGAACTATCCACAACTCAAAACAATTTTCGTTCAAAGTGAAAGTTCTCAAGTAAGATATACACAATGAAACACTCCAAAAATTTATAAGTTTTAACCTAATTTAGGGGTATATTTGTAAACATCTCAGAAGTCTTTCATTTATTTAAAGATAAAAATATGAATCATTAAGGCTAACTTACTGAAGTTAATTGCTAATCAACCAAATGGGAACCATAAAAAATATTGATGGGTTAAATGAAGGCAATTTAAGTATAAAATTAAATATTTACAATTACTCTTCTATTGGTAAAACTTAAACAGCTTTATTCATAGAATGCCAAACTGAGTAAAGTCTTCACCTATTAGTTAATTGAATTATGAGTAAAAGTATACAAAACATATTTTAAATTTTTAATATTAATTTTATTTTATTTTTAAATCGGTCAATAAATTCAATAATTCATAAAAAAAAAATTAGATGAACTTAAAATGACTTAAAAAAATATTGAATTATTTAAAGTTAAAAATAATTATAAAAATTAAATAAAATATTAAATCCCACAAAAAGTTTAACCCAAAACTTTTTAACTTAAAACACATCTATAAAAATTTATATCACACAAATTGAAATTATTTAGGGTAAAATATTTAAAACCCTAAAAATCACATATTTTCTCAACAAAAGCAACTCAAAAAATTTATAAAACAAATGAAATTTCTAAAAGTATAATAATTGAGTTTATAAGAACAATATTCACTTCAATAAGTGATTTGTGGGGTCTCATAAGCTCTAATAAATTGAAACCCAGATTCATGTCCTCAAAAAGGACATGCCAATAGGTCTTTTTCAATATATATATATATA